AAATTTAAAACTAGAATGGGACCCAGTAGAGCCCATACATCCCCCAAAGCCCATTATAAACTAATTTAAATTCACTAGATTGATATACTCATTTTTGCAGCTCTAATCGACATTTATAAAGAGCCAGTGTGAGTGTAAAAAGTAGACCTTGTTATCGATGTGTGCTGTATGCCTCTGTTTGACTGTGATTCCTGCCATTTGGCCCTCATTTCTAGGTGACACAGGTTCTGGTCCGAGCAGCCGTAATGCCAGCGTGGAACGAGGAGGAGAGCGACAGTCGGATACCTCTGACAGTGAGACCACTGATGTCAGAAGAATGAACCAGCAGCCCTTCAGCAGAGAAGTTAGATATAACCCCAACAGGTGTGTTTTCAGAATCATTACTAATACTCACTGTGATTTCCCTTCATCTTGTTATATTTTTTTAATATATAGAAATCTAAAAATCTTACATGCTTTCCAGCAAACCACCAATTTGAAATTGATGTTAAATAATTGCGTTTACGATGTGTGACCCACAGTCTAACAATGTGCTTCTTACTTTTCTCTTCAGGTTCAGACTGCACTTTGAGAAAGAGAGTGAAGAGGAGGTGGAAAAGAGAAAGAAGGTGGCCATGGAGAAGTTCTTGACTCCAGTGTCAGACAAAGAACTTGAAGTCAACATCGATGACATCTATCCCTCAGAGAAAGGTCTAGCTGTTTTTTTAAATGCTTTTCACATGACAAGACTCAAAATAAGCCAAACAGCGGAGTAGGTGAATGGAGTGTGGGTCACGGCTTGACACACTGAAACTTGATTATCCAATGCTAGGTCTTGGTTTCCCACGACGGCCACCCTGGAATTATGAAATGACACGAGAGAGCCTGCTGAGGAAAGAGGAGAAGTCGTTCAGAGAATACCTTGATGATCTTCACTCCAGTAAACCACTTGGCTCCCTCAGCCACTTTGAGCACAATCTTGAGGTGAGTAATTTAACAAACACGATGCGCTCTTAAGGACTTTGGGGTATTAAAGTCCTGGACTGGGGAAACAGTTTTACAAGCTCCAGCATTTTCTCAGGGACCTTAAATTAATTAGAAAGGTGATAATTATAAGTATTTCGGTTAGATGTGGGAAACGTGGCACTTACTATGCAACTCCATCCTTTGTGTTAATTCACTCAACAAGGAATAAAGTACAGATCCAACCTTACCAATTTTTTGGTGAACCAGGATCAGTTAATTAGTTTTGGAGGAGATAAATAGGTTTAACGTGTTAAATAAGAAGCAGCAACAAATCACTCATTTGCTGATACCTTTACTGTGTGAAAAGAGATGCCTGTTCACTAAATAATTAAATTAAATACATGAATCAGCCTGCAGACTCACTTTCATATCTTTCAGAGGAAAGAAGCAATGTTATATAACATATAAATCCAGGATGAACGTTAAAGTGAATGTGTCCTTCCAGTTGCATCATGTAGAGAACTGTAAGAATTATATGACTTAGCTGCATATTGTTTAGTATTTTCCTCTGGGAACAAAGAATCATCAAATCGTATCTCCATGCTGTTCCATTGCTCAGGCTGTGAAATGATAACATTGTTTTTCAAATCTAAAAAAAACCCTGCTGATCATTTAATTGTGTGTGGGCTGAGCTCAGGCAGCACATCACAGCAGACGCAGCGCTGTAGTAGTTGGTGATGTAATAAGTGACTGATTATTATAGAGATAATGGCTATTTAAGTGGTGCAGAGGATCAAAATGATAACATGTATAACACATATGAATACGCTTCATGTTTGAACAGGTTGTTTTGCATTTAGGGCCTAATATTGATGTTATAGCATCAACATTGAGAATACTTTAAATTTGATAACAAATATCAATCTTAAGAAGTTTTTCCTTTGCCATTCTTTCATAATAAACTGTGATGCTGAGAAACACAACAGAATTTGTAAATTCTTAACTTTGTTTTGTTAGCTATACTAAACCTAACCCTACTTCCCACTCCATTTTCTTTGTTTCAGACATGGAGGCAGTTTTGGAGAGTGTTGGAGATGTCTGATATTATTCTGCTCATTGTGGACATCAGGCACCCGGTAGGTGATTGTTTGACCATAAGCCTTCATAATGGATCAGGCCACTAGATGGAGACACAGTCAAGATCCATATCCAAACCTGATGCTTTTATTATTTATACATTTATTTAGGTGTCATTTTTAAATTTTTTGTGTTTTTTGGAGGTACAAAAATAATGATATAATATAATAATAATATATAATGCTGTACCCTGGGTAGATATAAAAGTAGTAACAGATTTTAACAAATATATGGGTTAGTAGAATTCAAGTCAAATCATATAAAGTAAATGAGAATGTTATCTCACCTTTTGCTAATGCAAACTAAAATGTTAGTATCAAATTTAAATGAGAAGTTGGTATGAGTCACAGCAAAACTTGGCCCATATTGTTTGATGATAAATTAATGTGTCATGTTTCATATTTTGAAAAATTAGACCGTTCAATCAGCAGTTCAATTTAGCAGCATCTCATATATTATAGACTGTTAATCAAATACTGTATTCTCTATAAACTACTAAATACTGTATAAATTGTGTGTGTGTAAAACAGAAACCCATTTCTTCTCAACAAATCATAAGACTCATGCTTCTGTCACTTTATTTCTGTTTTATTCCAAATCTACTTAATGTGGCGTGAATTTAGTTCCAGTTTCCAGTTTCACTGCTAACTTCAAATCAGCACAGCTCATCTTGAGCCTATTAATAATGACATGATGTGGTGGTTTATTATCAAATGGCTCATAATTACTATTTTAACAAAGTGTGTCCTCATGTGAACCTCCTAGGTGCTGCAGTTCCCTCCAGCCCTGTACCACCACATCACAGGAGATCTGCAGAAGCAGGTGGTGCTGGTGTTGAACAAAGCCGATCTCTGTCCTCCTCCATTGGTGATCGCCTGGAAACACTACATGACCTCTCAGTTCCCCCACCTGCAAATAGTCTGCTTCACCTCCCACCCTGGGCAGCCCTACAGCACAGGTGAGGAGAGGGGGAACATGGGGAAGGAAAAAAAAAACTGGATTGTAGTGAAGCCTATAAAAATTCAACATCAGACAGACATTAAAATGTCCATCTCTCTCTCTTTCTGCTGGTTTATAGTCCTTCAGAAGAAGAGGATGAGAAGGAAGGCTGACTGGAGTCATGGTGGAGGTCCTACAGATATCCTGAAAGCCTGTCAGGAAATCACAGCAGGGAGAGGTGGGCATGTGCTCATCATCTTGCATACTTATCTTAAATCCCTCATAATAGCGCAGGCATTAATTTGTCCACATATCTTCACAGTTGACCTTTCCAGCTGGGATCAGAAGATTCAGAGAGATGCTGTTTCAGAGGGACCCAATGGGGACCATTCTGATGAGGGAGCGGAGTCTGTGCTAGTGGAGCATCAAAGTGACAGTGCTATGAAGATGAGCAGCCCATCACAGGAGCTCTACAAAGATGGTGTTCTCACATTGGGTTGTATAGGTATGATACATCCCTGTGTGGATTGAGCCGTGTAACCAGGTTGACTGAACAAATTATTAAAACAAATCCATAAAGAAGAATAGGAAGATGTTAAGGGGGATTTCTCAACTGTCTTTTGGTAGTTAAACCAAATAATTACAGACAAAAGATGTACAGAAAGTAATACAATCAAGGTTGTCTTGTTTCATTTTATTTATAACTAAAGACAACAGGGTCTTTTGAGTAAAGTTTGTAATTTGGTTGATTCCATACCGCACCATTCTTTAACTTTAGCTTTAAATTTGCATGAGCAAACTGAGCTGAAGACCATTATTTGATATTAAAGACTGATCATAAACTCATCCTTTCCCCCCCCCCCTAGGCTTTCCAAATGTTGGGAAGTCGTCTGTTATAAACACCCTGGTGGGGAGGAAGGTGGTGAGTGTGTCTCGAACACCAGGCCACACCAAATACTTCCAGACCTACTACCTCACCCCGACAGTGAAATTGTGCGACTGCCCTGGACTGGTCTTTCCCTCGCGTGTCAACAAACAGTTACAGGTACAAACTCTGTGCACTAGAAAGCAGCGGTAACTCTGAGTTCACACACCCGTTTAGGCTCAGTGGAAACATAATTGTGTTGAACAGAGCATTCAAACAATTCTGGGTAAATTGATTATTGATTCCATACCCCCCCCCACCTTATTCCAAGCTTGTTTTGTGCAATGACTCTTCAATTTTTCAAACATTTCGGTTTTTGGATACAGCCGTGTTCAAAAAGGATTTTAGATCTCTGTTTGAATTTCCTCATTGAGCCTTTTCCTTATAACTATTGTTTTTCTGCTTTGATCTCAGCCTTTGTTTTATGTTTTTATAGATTCTGGCAGGCATCTACCCAGTGTCTCAGGTGCAGGAGCCCTACAGCTCAGTTGGTTATCTGTGTGAGAGGACCCCCTTCCTCTCTGTGCTGAAGCTCAAACATCCCAGCTTGCTAGAAGATAAACCCCATCAGAGATACCAGGGATCAGAAGAGCTTAGATGGACTGCTTGGGAAGTGTGTGAAGGTAAGATGATTCACTGAGACACTAAACATCTATATATAATAATGGTCCATTATCAATTGTAAAATTAAATTAATTAAATTAAATGAAAAACTCTTTATTGATGCATTTCTCCACCACACACAGGAAGTCATATTATGGTTGCACAGATAATACTTGTTGGTACAATTTCCCCATGTGTTAAACTGTCATCAAGACTTTTCTCTTCCATCAATTTTTGCGTTCTTTAGCTTGGGCAGAGATGAGAGGATACAAGACTGCAAAAGCAGCTCGCCATGACGTTTATCGTGCAGCCAATAGTCTCCTGCGGTTGGCAATTGATGGCAGATTGTGCCTTTGCCTCAGACCACCTGGCTACAGCTGCCTGAGAGGTAAAAGATGCTCTCCCATGACTAATTGTTTCAGCTTCAAGTGTATTTGCGAAGTTGAAACAGTAGGTGGGTAGAATTGATTTATCATGATTATTATTTATGGTCTACAGAGCATTGGGAAAATCACCCAGACCTACCGGAAATCATGGCTCTACTAGGAAGGATGACAGATGAGAAAGGTGATGGAGACAGGGATGAGGAGGAGGACGCAGAGTCCAGCACCGAGCCAGAGGAAGAGAGAGACAGGGATGCAGACGATGATGAGGATGGGGATGATGAAGATGAGGGGTTTGGACATCCAAGACGGAAGGATGAAAAGCCATCTGGCTTCACTGTCAACATGTACAACGTCCTTCGAGAAAATCAGTGTGAGTGAAAGCGAAGGGAAAGACGTGCAGAAGATATAAGTTCCTGACTTTTCCCCGGCAATCCCAGTAAATTTCTCATTCCTCCTTTTTCCAAAACCTGCATTCCTTCTCCCTTTTCCTGCGCATTCACTCCATTACCTTCTCTGTACATTAATATGATCTATTCTAATGAATTCACCCTGTCTCCTCCACAGAGTGAACAGAGCATATTCATGTATTCCATGTTGTGCCTCTGCTCTGCTTGTTCACAGATGAAGCTTGTTCATTAATGTTGCTTCAAGGAATGGGCTTTGTTTGGTTTGACTTTATCTTTTTCTTTTCTTTTTTGCATGGACTTCTGAAAAGACAAATGAACAAGTAACTTCCCTCAGCCTGGAATAATCAACCAACCAGCTTTCATTCTCTTTGATAAGTGACCTCACAGCTGAGTTGCCAAAATTCAAGAATTATTTTTTTCTTTAAACGAATCCGATGCACTGTCAATATGATGTCATTCACTGGAGCAGCCGTTTGGCTCTCAGAGCAGCTTGAGATTAAAGACCGCGACTCTAAATCATCTTTATCGAGCATGCTATGTCTCAACTTTGACTAAAGGGTGGGATCTGGGAGATAAAACCAATTTTACTCACACTATTTTTAGTTACCAGTATATTTATATTTTATTTGATTCTACACAATACACAGGTCATTTCAGAACTTTTCTTGGAATGTGGGGAGGGGAATGAGTGTTGTACTGCTGGACGAGGCCGTTTCAGGAATTTAACCTGTAGTGTTTTAACTACTACAAATATTATCCATAGATGCTTACAGAGGTTTACAGGATATAGTGCAGGATTTAGCTGCAACCATTCAACACGTTTAAAAGCCAATGGCGGCACAGTGGAACTGATTGAATTGAGGCTGCTTAAAAATTCATCTGGGGTATCTGTTTATTGGCTTCCTTGCCAGGTTAGATGATAAAATTGTTCTCGTTCTTGTGTCTTTACGGCAAATGTGACGGTAGAGACAGTTAAGCTCAGCACAAAGGAAGACAGGAAGAAACAGCTAGATTAGCTCTACCAGCACCTCCAAAGATTATCACCATACTGTATCTTGTTTATTAAAGCTGGGCAAAAACTAAAGTGTAAAAATAACACTTATGTGCTCAAGTATTTCTTGGAACCAGGCTTTCAGGTATTAACTTCACCTGACTGAGCATTAGAGGTACTGTAAGCTGTGGCTTAATATTCTCCATACAGACTTGAGAGTAGTAACAATCTTCTCATCTAAATCTCATCAAAAAAGTGAATGAGTGCATTTACCAACATGTTGGACAGTTACTTTAACAACAGAGAGAGAGACTCTACAGCTTCAATCTATCTGTCTTTATAAATAACATTACACACTCCATCCATCAAGTTGTTTTATAAAAATTTAGTCCGATTCAAGCTATGGTCCTGTAATGCTATTACAACATCTGCTGCAAATGTTCCTCATATTTTTAATTTAACTTTCTCTAGAGAAGTAGAGATGTTCCGATACCATTTTTCCCTTGATGGTGACTGGACTTGTGTATCGGCAGATACCGAGCACTGGTCCAACACGAGTACATTTATAAGAACAACAAATCACATATCATAAGTGATGACTGGCAGGAACAAATTGCTGGTTTTACTCCACTACCAGAAATTGCTTCTTCTTTGCTGATCTTGAAACTGTTGCCAGTGGCAGTACAGCGCAACTGCTGTCTCAGAGCAACAAAGTGATTTCTGGTATCAGATCTTATCATAGATTTGTGTATTTTGTCACCACCTGGTATTTTCGGTGGTATCAGGAGCATTTCTGATCTGGTATCGAAACATCTCTAAAGAAAAGTTGGACCAGTCTCTCTCTCTTTCTCTCTCTGTGATTTGCAACGGCCCCGCTACAATCCTGAGTGCTGTATTATTATTATAATTATTGTGTGCTGCTGTCGTACCTCATTCACATGGTCACTGAGGGAAGCCTATAGCACAGTGCTGTGTTACTATGTAATGCATCACACTGCAGCCACATGCAATCATTTCTACAATTGGTACAATATTAAATCAGTTACTCAACACTACCATAATGTTATAAACACGACGGATGTTTGGCTGTGTTGATGTGGAGTTTCTTTTGTTGTTTTGAAATATTAAAACTGACTGTATCTGAAGATTTTGCTGTGAAGGCTTGAGGTGTGTTCAGGCTACTTACTGCATTCCTCATTTCATTCCTACTATACCTGATGATGAACTGGACTGCTTTCTGCAATAAAAGAAGATAATCATTGAAAACCATATTTGTGTTTGCGAGTGGGGTCTTATTGTGTTTAATTATACATTTTATATTTTCAGGGAGAGTCTGTTCTTTCAAGGTCGGACTCTCTACAACTTATTTTTGCGGGTAAAAAAAGTCACCCACACACATTGCCTCAAGTAACTCTAACTAATTTCGAATGTACATAATCACGGTTTAGGCTCTGAACTATTCCTTTAAATTAAATAATAAACAAACACATGAAGGGAGGTTTGTGAAGTAAATGAGCTTTGTCAAACTAATTACTGCAGTTGGTGTACAGCCTGAATGTCAAGTAGATGTTGAGATAATTAATATAGTAATGCTGTTCTAAATATTTCTACATATGGCCACACTGCCATTAGCTCTGTTATGACCAGGTTTTATGGCTGAGAGATTGTGTGATAGACTCCAACCTGTGTAGGAGGTGTACAAAATGAATAAATCAATATGAAGAAGCTACGGTGTCATTAATCAGGTTGAAAGAAAACATTTAAAGACTCCCATATTTCATTATAAGAAATACTTTGGTATGCACTGAATGTGATTTATTTGTCCTGTAAAGAGGCCTTTAAATGGTTCTGCACAGGGAAAAGTTGTGATTCTGCATCTATAACAGGATTTGTTTATCAAAGCACTTTTACTTTTCAGTTTTATTTCACGGTGTGTCCTACATGACTATTTAAAAAAAAAAGCACAATATGATCAGGACAAAGAAAATGGTTCAAAAATGACTCAAGAGGTTTGTCCAGTGCACCGCTGCTTTTATTAACTGTGAAACATATGGAATAAAGTATCACCTCTCTCAGCTTCTAATAAATGTATTTCTATAGTCATCTGGTAAAAATTTGAAACATATCCCTGAGATTAACGTCTAATTTGAATGCTTTATGTCAGTGTTATTGTGGAATGACTGTGTTTGTCAAAATTATTCACAGCTCTCGATGCCTTTCCAGCCCTGCTGTCAGCGTGGATCTGGCTGCTGCCACAGTATTATCTCATTATGTTTATTGTGACCCACTGGGCACCCTTCATCAGAGAGCTGAGACAGTCTGATGATAGTCAGCGCTGAGGACTGTCATAATCATTATTTACGGGATGGAAGTGGGTGGAATTCCCCGCATTTTGCATAATTTGGATTCAGTGCCAACTTGCACCATAGCTGGAGATTCTATTTGCTGACTAGATAAACTCTGAGGAGGGAAGAGAGGAATCATCAGCAACTGTTTCCAATTCACAGCCGGAGCCACGGGCCGCTTTATTTCCACTACTAGAGCTCCAACTATGTTGTGGCCCTCAAACATGTTTGGCAATTATTACACCCAGACAAAGACCTCAGATTTACTGGTGCGTGACACCGTAAATTTCAAAACTGTTAATTAAATTCTGCTGTTGTGCCCATGTGGTTTGAATTCACTCTTTTCTTTTTTTCCAACCGCTTCTTCTTGGAATGCTTTCTGATGATGCAATCAGGTTGTTGTGGGGACTCTTGCCCTCTTTCGCCTTTCACCCCCCTTCTTGTGTTTGGCCCCGTGCTGCTCCCTGTGTGACCCCAGCTAACATGTGGGTGAGGCCAGGCAGTAATGAATTGGTTGCATATGAGAGCCAGAGCATAGGCAGAGCAGAAAAATTCATTAGTCTGGGTTTATATGCTCCCCTGGGGCTAAACATCACACACACACACACATGCAAACACACATACAGGTGAGATAGAGTGAGTGAGAAGTGAAGATACAAGAGTGTTTGGAAAAATTTAATTAAATACAATCTCCCAGCTGACTTTTTTATACACAATCAAACTGCAATACTTCCCTATTAAAGAGAATTATACTTCTACAGTACATCTCATCTGGCAGGTACACATCTGTGGTCACTAGAGGGCTATGAAAGCCAGCACTACTCCGAGTCTTAGCTGCAGTTAATAGTCAGGTGCATTCAGCTGATTGTGCACATGTGAATAATGTGTGGTGTTTATGGTGTTGTGTAATTTGAACAATGCTTAGTTTATCACCTTTATAAAAGGTGTTATGTGGATGCATGTAGTCACCGACTGTACAAACAGCTTTATCTGTGTGTGTTAACACTTGTTGGTCTCACAGTAAAGTTTCCTGCAGTTTTATTGGATTGTTTCCTCTCTCATGTACCTCTGCAGTAGGTGAATCTGTGCACCGCTGCTGCTTAACTTCTCTTAAGTAAAGGCACACATATACAGAGACCACACACACACACACACACAAACACACATTGATTTACAGCTCAGGCAGTTGTCCCCACCCCTGCCCCCCCATTGGTGTCCTGATGCTCCAGCAGCGCTGTGGGGGGTGGCGAGGCTGGATGTCGTCCTCAGCTTCTTCTCTGGTTGCTTTCCACTAAGATAATCAACAGTGGAGGAGAGAAACTAAGAACATGACTTTTTATAATGAATACATTTCAGATGAGGATGTTACATTAAAGCAGATACAGTGTGTTGTGTGTGGTTGAGGCCTCTCGTCACATGGTTCAGATGTCTTGGAGCTGTTAGTGATTCCACTAAACACACATTCCTCTGTAAACTTTGACCCATTAATCATCTCACAACCCAGGTTAATCATGTGACCCTGAGGGGAGTGGGCCGCCTGGTTAGGAACCAACTACACTACGTAACTGTATTGGTAAAAAGCTTCACACTTCCTCTTCACATTTCCTCTTCACATTTATCCACCAGTAAGACATAATATTCAGTATTTGTCAAGTGGGGTTGTTTTTTCTGCAGATTGAGTACTTTTACATATCCTTATAAATATGACTTTAAATGTACATATTTTACTTGTAATTTGAGTATTTTAGATTGTAGTATTGGTACTTTTATTTAAGTAGGGTGAGTACTAAACCACTGATTTTAAAGCAGAATAGCACACAGTGGAGGGTATATATTGCAATGTTAAAGATATTTAAAAAATCCTTTTCCAGTTCTTTCTTGGCCCATTCCACATCCTTCCACCAAGTTTCATGAAAATCCATTCTGGTGTTTTTGTGTAATCTTGCTTACAAACAAAAGCAAATGGGCCGGGGTGAAAACATAACCACCGAGATGAAAACAGCAGAAAATCACTGGAGCTTTTCGAGTCAAAATATTGGTGACATTTTCGTACAAAACAGATTTTAGCTCCCTTCGGATTAAATTTGACTTAGTCAGTGCAGACATATACAGTTTAGATGGATAAAGAACTCATCCAGGTGATCATACCACACCCATATTTTATAATGACTCTGCTATCCGAGCACAATGAAGAGAAAAGAGACTCTTTTCTTTTGGTGCTCAGCGCTTGGCAAACTATCCCAGCAGCATGTCAGCGTGGGGTGAACTCAGAAACAATATTTGCCACAGTGAGCATTCAACACGATGTGGACAGAGCCGCTTTTCCCATATTCCTCCTGCAGGGAGTCACAACATGGCAGCTGGGTTTGTTTGTTCAGTGGACTTGAGTTTGAGTGTGGAAAGGACCGGCTCTCTGTTTGAGATAGAGCTCTGCAAAACACAAAGTTCTGCCAGCACAAACTCAGAGGGGCTCAGTGTTTTATAGCTCACTTATACTGTCAATAGGTGTGGCTTTATGAATTTACTGTGTGTGTTTGTGTGTTTGTGTGTGTGTGTGTGTGTGTGTGTGTGTGTGTGTGTGTGTGTGTGTGTGTGTGTGTGTGTGTGTGTGTGTGTGTGTGTGTGTGTGTGTGTCTGTGTGTGTCTGTGTTTGTGTGTGTGTGTGGTACTAGTCCCCATAACGTAAATCATTACATTTCAAGTTGAGGACATGTTTAAGTTTAGGGTTTCACAAGTGGTAACTGTGGTTAAGGTTGGAGTAGGTTTCCAGGGAATCAATATAAGTCAATGTAATGTCCTCTGAAATCATGGAGACATGACTGTGTGTGTGTGTGTGTGTGTGTGTGTGTGTGTGTGTGTGTGTGTGTGTGTGTGTGTGTGTGTGTGTGTGTGTGCGTGTGTGTATATGTGTTTGTGTCTGACCCTGTTTGTGAGTTGGAGCCCATGTGTCAATAGGTATTTTTAGCGCCACCTCTCACTGCTTTGCAATGGCACTCATTTGCACCCTTCTGATTCCTCCCCGCACACCCTCCTCCTCACCCTCCTCACCCTCACACCCACCCTGTCCTCGGCACCTTCAAATCTGCCACAACATTCACTCTCACTGGAAAGAGCCAGCAACAGCCTGGATGAAAGTTTAAAAGAAGGGAAGCAGAGTTTGACATACAGGGGTTGGAGATGGGGAGAGATCATACTTGAGTTACCATGGTGATAAACTCTCGTGCATGGCATTTAAAATTGCTCATATAACTCAGCTCAGTTTTGTCTCTCCTTTGGGCTTTGGCCAATTTGGATATTGATAAAAGTCAATTAAAGGATAGCCATGATTATATGTTTGTTTCTCACAGACCCTGGGAACGTGTCATGGCAGTGAGAGGCAGCGTTCTGCCAAGTTTAAACCGTCTGAGCCAGAGAGCAGGGGTGTGGAAAGACTAAACATGTAATTGGTGAAGACAGAAGGTGGAGGGCCAAACAAAGAACATCAGAGCACATCCGATCGCGGCTGTGGTGAACAATTCCCACAGCGGGCACTAATGTTAGCAGAGCAGAGAGATGGGAGGGGAGAAGAAGGCCATTCATTCAGCGGCTGTGGCTCAGACAGGTGAGGAGAGGAGGGAGGGAAAGGGGGAGAAGGAAAAGGGGAAGTAAAATCCTGGAGCGGCTGCAGTGACAGTTTGAACAGAGGGCGACAGTTGTATGAGGAGCCTCCAGAATGCCATAGCAGGGGCAGCAGTCCTCAACGCTGTTAGATTTGTGTGTGTGTGCACAGATGAATAGCAGGGGATTTCTGGGGGGGGGGGGGAACCTGACACCCCAAAAGAGTGTGCATCCCCCCCGCCCCTCCAGCCATGAGGAGGAGGTGGCACAAGTGCGCGGCTACAGCTGAGAGGGTCTCCAGAGACTCCTCTGACTGTGTGAGGGGTCAT